CTTTATATTCAAGTTTATCATTTGCAGATCAAATAAAAACTAAAAAACCAAACAAATCGTTTTTTTTGTATCTGCATCAACATCTTTTGATTATGTTGCTCAAACGACAAGATTTCTCTTTACCTATCAATCAACACCACTTTTATTTGAGTTATTCAAAGAATATATTGTTTTTTGTTCACATCTACACCTTGAATTATTGATTCTTCAAAAAGAGTTTTGAATTGGTATCATATTATATTGACAAACTAACAACAATCAAATATCACAAATGTTTCCGCGGCATCTACCAAGACTTTATCAAATCTTGGAGACAAATATAAAATAAAACACATTCCTATCCTTTTTCTTTATCTATAACACTTAACCTACATAACTTCATTCGAAACATGAGTTCCATCAAGTTGCCACTAAACCACAAATAGTATATGTACGTTCTTTCTTGAGATCAATTAAATTTTTTAGCTTGAAAAATAGAACTACAAAGTGATCTCACTAACAAAAGTTCATATGCTCCTACAAAAAAACAAAACAAAAGTTCATATGCTTCATTTCATGATGTAGTCGAATGTATCCATGAAAAATCTCAAAATTTAATACGTTGTAAGAATTTAATTTCATTTGCAGTGTGAAAAATTGTTTTTGCCAATTCATGGGATAAATATTTTTGAATCTCTTTTGATATGCTTCGGTTGTCTCTACAAATTCTTTCTAAAGTTCTCAACATAGTACGACAACAACATAGTACAAAAAAAGCATAGTACGGCAACAACATTGAATGTTAGAATTTGAATAAGTTTTTGAAAATTTTATTGTATTTCTTAATTAAAAAAAAATGCACAACGACATCGATCATCACGTACGTTATGAGAGTTAGTACTTAATTGAGTTTGGTTTCTCATCTCATTTTCGTCTGTGAAGTTGAATCTAGAAAATAACATTTATCACAATAACTTGTATTAAAGTTTTAACTTCATGTAATATTTTGAAGCAAGCTATTTGGCGTCATAAGAAGAAATTGTAATTTGGAGAAGGTAAAACCGTTTCTTGAGCCAAAGAACTACATTAAGATGATATTATTCAAATTATCTTATGGATGTGCGAGATGAGATTAACGATTCCTAAATTAGATTCTAAAGTGGACAAATCAATAAATTAACAAAAGAAATCGCATTTGAATGTCTAATATTAATATGGATTCGGAGTATTCGATTTGATTCACAACCATAAGTAGTCTTCATGGGCCTTTGGGCCGAGTGCTTAATGAGATTAAAATATTTCATAATCCAATTATAGTAATTTTAAGAAAGTGAACATGAACGTGTCTTTGACTAATCTTAATTCCATAACGCGTACGTGACCCTCAATAAATATAACCAAAAA